ATAGTATGTTCCCATTCCGTTTTTGCTTTGGTGTAGCCCTGAGGTTGATTGCTTATTTATTTCTACCCTTCCTCTCTCCATACTTCTGCCCCCCCCCCCCTCTCTCTCTCTCACTCCTTCTGTCGTCCACATGTATCAAAGGAGGCGAAATCGCCTGTTTGTGGTGCGACGTTAAATAAACTTCTACAACAACAACAACAACCTCTATGCTGTGCTGCGACGGCAGAACTTCACATCACGTGACATGGTTCGAAGGGTTATGCTGGCAAACAGTGCAAAGTGACCACAAGAGAGTTGTACCCAAAGCTGGGCTGCGTACAACCCAGTATCTATCATGCACTAGACTAGAGTGCACGGGTTCATCACATGATGTGAAGTTCTGCCGTCGCAGACCCATCGGCCATAGCTGGAGTTGCACACTCTTGGGGTTATGTACTCTTGGGGTTATGCGTAGGATGGTACCAAGAGTACATTATTATACGGTCTATGTACTCTTGATGGTACCACCAAGAGTACATATTAAACCTGGTTATGTACTCTTGATGGTACTCTACGTAGCCGAAAATGACAACATGATAAAAGGCTACATCCTGTAAATAAAAATGTTGCCGCGCAGAAGCTTGAGAAATGCACAAAATTACAAAATCAAGGAACGAAAAATAAATCGCAAGAAATCCGTGCAGACACTACTAGGCGGCTCGAGGCATTGTTGACCAGGTTGACCAGGCGATGATATCGGTACGCTAACCGTGCTCCGATAAAATTAAAGGGGAAGTTAAGGCAAAAATTAAAATTTCACCAGTTGTAGTCTTCGGGGTGCTGAGTCGAATGGTCTTGGTCCGAGGAAGCTGAGGCGCTCCCTTCCTACTTGAATCCCAATCGAACTCGCGCACTTCCACCGAAACTGGGTGACTGCGCCCTACGAGATGGGGATTTGTATGCAAAATGTCACTAAAAGCGCCATTTCGTTCTTATAAAAGCACGGATGACCGCGATTGGCCCATATGTTGTAGTCTTTGGGACGCTGAGTCGACTGGTTTTGGTCCGAAAAGGCTGCGATTCAGCGTTCCTCCTTTATTCCCAATCGAACATGGTTGAACAAGTGGTCACGTGCTCCTGGGTGCCCAAATCACCTGGTCACCACGCCAGCAGGTGACAACTTTCACACCAAGGTTCAACTCGGGTTCAACTCGAGTGACAGGACTGCACCCAAAAAAGGTCAAACAGGCTAGTAAGTTGTACCCTGCAGGCACGGTGACCAGGTGACTGGTGTACGCAGGAGCACGTGACCGCTTCTTCAACCATGTTCGATTGGGAATAAAGGAGGAACGCCGCATCGCAGCCTTTTCGGACCAAAACCAGTCGACTCAGCGTCCCAAAGACTACAACATATGGGCCAATGGCGGTCATCCGTGCTTTTATAAGAACGAAATGGCGCTTTTAGTGACATTTTGCATACAAATCCCCATCTCGTAGGGCGCAGTCACCCAGTTTCGGTGGAAGTGCGCGAGTTCGATTGGGATTCAAGTAGGAAGGGAGCGTCTCAGCTTCCTCGGACCAAGACCATTCGACTCAGCACCCCGAAGACTACAACTGGTGAAATTTTAATTTTTGCCTTAACTTCCCCTTTAATAAATTTTAATAATATACAATGCGCATCATGGCTCCGCGAAGTAGTGCTAGTGCGAAGGAAAGACGAGATCACAGGTACGCCATCACCTGGGACATGTGAGGCCGTTATGGCCGAAACGGCTTGCTGTCTACCGCATTGGGTATTACGCTCCTCGGCATTCGTCTTGTAGAGCACTCTCGGCAGGCTGCTTTAGTGCTGCTGCGTTACACATTGCTCGCTGCTTCTCGTAGTTTATTTCAAACTTTGGAGCAGTGTGCAGGTTTCCGCGCTCTGAGGCTCCCACAGTTTCTCGCCAGGAAACCGGCATCAGGCCGGCCTGGTTTCAAACATTAGGAGCTGGTATACAGTAGTAGTAGCAGCAGTAGGAATCTTGCCGTCCATTGAAAAAGTATGGCTTTTCACTGAGCAAAGCCGAGCCCCGCAGTCGCACATCTGACTGCAAAATCCCCACGACGCAGCTCACCAGATCATGGTATGGTGTGGGTCCTCTGCACTCAGTAGAGTCAAGTCGAGCGAGCTGCAACTCCCGGTGCCGAAAGGCGGGCTAACGCCCCTACATGGCTACTTCCCCTTGTCTAACCCCCAAGACGAAATGATACAGTAGCCGACTGGCCTAAATAAAAAATTAAAAAAAATAAAATTAAAAAGCCGAGTTCATGGACGGCTTGTGCCTCCGTTATGGTTGGATGCCGCCGAGGTTACCAACTCATTGCTCTTGTGGACGGGACAATGGTATTGATCATGCCTTGTTATGTCCCCCTGGTGGTTTTACCATTATCCGCCAAAATGAGTTCCGGGATGTGACGGCCTCTCTCCTTCAAGAGACCTGTCACAATGTCTCCATCGAGCCACTGCTGCAGCCACTCACTGGAGAGAGAATGAGATACAGGTCTGCTATCGTGGAGGAGCATGCGCGGCTTGATGTAGCGGTCAGTGGTTTGTGGGGCAGTCGTTTTGATCCTTTTAATCCTCATGCACGTTCAAATCGATCTGGAACACACACCACTGTCTATCGGCGCCATGAAAAAGAAAAGAGACGATGCTATGAAGAGAGAGTGAGAGAGGTGGAGCATGCGACGTTCATGCCTGTTGTGCTGTCGACAAGTGGTGGCATGGGAAGAGCGGCGACATCACTCTATCGCCGAATCCCGTTATTGAGAGCTGACAGGAAGGAGGAGCAGTACTCCCATGTAATAATATTATCTTACATCAGGTGCCGTCTTTTTCATTAAGCCCTGTGACGATCATGCATCATGTGTTTGCGGGGTTCACGAGGTCTTTTCCGTGAGCGATCGGTTCGGCATCCGGAGTCTGCTGAGTGCTGAGCTGGTTATCGCCCAGGCCCAGGTTGCTCGCATGTGAGAATCTATTAATTGCAGCATATTAATTTTTTATTATAAACACTGGCCATGGATACTGGATAACTGTACTCAGTAACTCTTTTCATTTTACAACCTATGTTTATTAGTATTATTGTAAAGTCTTCACTAGTTTGAGGGAAAGAGACAAACGGGAAAGGTCTGAAGAAAAAATTGACTGTCACCATCAGGACTCGAACCAGGGACCCTCGCTTGTAGCTAGCGATGCTCTAACCACTGAGCTATGGTGTAGTCGTCATCCCAACAGAGACTGTTCAACATTTTCTTCAGACTTCGTAACTCACACTTCCTGTGAATCCACACAGTACAGGCGGGTGGGACGCAGCCCTCACTGTACCCACACACTTCACGTACACTCTAGCACGTGGGGAGCCCCAAGTCATAAAATCTTCACTAGTTTGAGGGAAAGAGACAAACGGGAAAAGTTTGAAGAAAAAATTGACTGTCACCACCAGGACTCGAACCAGGGACCCTCGCTTGTAGCTAGCGATGCTCTAACCACTGAGCTATGGTGTAGTCGTCATCCCAACAGAGACTGTTCAACATTTTCTTCAGACTTCGTAACTCACACTTCCTGTGAATCCACACAGTACAGGCGGGTGGGACGCAGCCCTCACTGTACCCACACACTTCACGTACACTCTAGCACGTGGGGAGCCCCAAGTCATAAAATCTTCACTAGTTTGAGGGAAAGAGACAAACGGGAAAAGTTTGAAGAAAAAATTGACTGTCACCACCAGGACTCGAACCAGGGACCCTCGCTTGTAGCTAGCGATGCTCTAACCACTGAGCTATGGTGTAGTCGTCATCCCAACAGAGACTGTTCAACATTTTCTTCAGACTTCGTAACTCACACTTCCTGTGAATCCACACAGTACAGGCGGGTGGGACGCAGCCCTCACTGTACCCACACACTTCACGTACACTCTAGCACGTGGGGAGCCCCAAGTCATAAAATCTTCACTAGTTTGAGGGAAAGAGACAAACGGGAAAGGTCTGAAGAAAAAATTGACTGTCACCATCAGGACTCGAACCAGGGACCCTCGCTTGTAGCTAGCGATGCTCTAACCACTGAGCTATGGTGTAGTCGTCATCCCAACAGAGACTGTTCAACATTTTCTTCAGACTTCGTAACTCACACTTCCTGTGAATCCACACAGTACAGGCGGGTGGGACGCAGCCCTCACTGTACCCACACACTTCACGTACACTCTAGCACGTGGGGAGCCCCAAGTCATAAAATCTTCACTAGTTTGAGGGAAAGAGACAAACGGGAAAAGTTTGAAGAAAAAATTGACTGTCACCACCAGGACTCGAACCAGGGACCCTCATTATCGACACGCGATGCGACAGGCGCGAAACCGGGAAAACCCCAAATCGCAGCCATGTCGCACCCCACGCAACTGACGCAACTGGGCCATCGCATGCCATCGCAGAAGTTGAGCTTGGCTCAACTTTTGCGATGCGATGCGATGCGACAAGCGATTTGGTGTACGATTTTGACCTTTTCTACAGCAAAGTTGTACAAAGGTGCAAGAGTTGCCTTTAAATTTTTACAAGTTGTGTCAAACCGCGCGAATATCATGGTGACGTACCCAAATCAGCAAAACTTTGTCGCATTTTTCTTCTGTGAGTGGTATTTCGCGAGTTCGCATCGCACGCATCCATCGCAGATCGCGTCGCATCGCGTGTCGCATCGCAAAAAAGCTTCTGTGAATCCCGCTTTATTGTTGTGTACTTTCCACAATATTGTGTTGCATTGTTCAAAAAAACAAAAACTGCCCTAGCATAAAGTCTCCAGAAAAGAAACAAAATTAGATGTATTAAGGACGCTGGCAACATGTGTGATGGAGTCCGCAGACGGCGAGACACGACTAAAGAATAGGATGATTTGTCGAGGCAAGTTGCAGGCCTGAGCGAGGAGGTTGTCGCCCTCAGGAAGTCCGCCATTGCCAACTCACTAAAGCACAGCACGGGAACGCACATCGTCCAGGAAATACCCAGCCTGCTTAGCAGTATTCAAGCTAGCCAATTTGGAATTACAGTGGGCCTACAATCTCAACAATGTGACAACTAGAAACTTCGACGGAGATAACTGTAAAATCACCACCATAGTTGGAAGAGAAAATCGCAATGATGTTTACAAAAAGTTAGGGAAGATCCCTAGAGGACGCTATGTGAGCCACGTCCTAATCATTATGTGCACCAATAGCTATAGTAGAATAGATTACAATGGTAGAATAGATTACAATAGTAGAGAATCTACGTATGCGTTGTAATATAATAACTACAAGTATTAATAGGTGCATGTACAGGTAATATTAAACAATGCACTTGATTAGATTTGGAAAGGCACGCATAAAAAAATCAATAATACTTTGTCATGATGACGATCAAGGGATGCTAAAGCTGGAATAGGGCTAGGGCTAGGCGGGGGGAGCTTTGGCTGCAAGGCATTTCAGAAAATAGATATTTGCAAATAGGATTTGGATGTTCATAGTTTTGTTTAGCCACGTCTGTATAAGGCAGTGCTTCTTAGTCAGTTTCGATATCATTGATACCTACGGAGGCGTGCTTCGTACTCCATACGGCGTATTTCCAGCTCTACAGGGAAAGGGAAGAACAGAAAGGGAAGAACGTTTATTTCTCGATTCACACATGCTTGCTTTTGCTTGAAGGTCACGCAGTAATACAGTAGCCATCTTTCCTGCAATGTGCATTTGTGCATGTGTATGTGAGGGGGAGGGGAGAGGGGAGGGGGGGGGGTATTTGGTTAGAATGAGAAAAGCAGTGCTCCATTGCCATCTACAGCACAGGTACCACCACCAACCCTCGTCTCTAGCCATACCAGTCTTCATTGGCCTAGTATGTCAATAATGGACCAGCACTTGCAGTTCACTGTAGAAAGAAGCCAGCTACCATAGGGGCGATAGGGGTGATGTCAGAATGACATAACTAATCATAAGCTATAATGTCACTCTGATGTCATTCGGCCTGCATTATGTTGTTGTAAGATGCATGTATGCAAGTACAAGTGCAACACTACTAGGCTTCGATTATGATGACACCATGCAGTGGACGTACGGGCTTCTGTCTCCGGTGTCTGGATGATTACTTGCGTTGACGCTGTGAGTCTTTTGTCATCCACCCTTATCTACACACAACAGCATCACAGGAACAAAGAAAACCGAGAAAAGGTTAAATTCAAGTGCCTACACACCGCTGGTTGACAGCATGTGACAAGGTGGAGAACACCGGTGTTCGGAAACAGTGACCTTTCTACATGTACAACCATAGCAGAGTCCCGGTCTTGCGACCCTGAACCGCATGGTGTTAGACCCGGTTCTGACCCTCTGTACCAACCGTGGCTGGGTGTAGAAAGGTCACTACTAACTTAAAGTGTTTCCGAACACGGTGGTCCTCCAACTTGTTACGTGCTGTCTTACAACATGTTTCAACAAAAGAAGGTTTATGTCAGTACCTGGACCAACGCGTACACTGTTGTGAATTCCAGCAGAAATCCAAGCTATCACCTGATGAGTGCCTGAGATGGCATGAAACGTTTATGTTGTGACTGATCAAGCCATCTGTTGTTCTGACTAGTGTGTACCTACACGTACCTGTACCTACACGTACACGTACCTATACGTACATGTACCTGTACCTACACGTACATGTACCTGTACACACTGTACAGTCTATGTGCAGAGATTGTCATGGAATAGGCGCCATGCGATGGCTCAGCTCTCTACAGTCATACTGAGTCTGACTAATGCAGAATTAATGGAAATGACTGCAATGCACATGCACATTGTACATCACAGGTCAGTGCACTAGTGGTAGAGCATTGCTGACCACAAGTATGTTAGTTAAAGGTGAGGGTCCCTGGTTCGAGCCACTGGTGGTGACAGTCAATGTTTGGCTTCAGATTTTTCCCGTTTCCAACTCCCTCAGCCCTATGAATACAGGTCTACCCTCGTTTGTACGACCACCAATCCAAAATCGACTGATGCCTGAAACGTGCACATTACAATTCGGATAGTAGTGACAACACTCGTTATAAGACCAAAGACGTGAAACCCCGGGTTGTCTACCAACGATGATTGACCCCTTCCTGAAGATGGGCCTTGCTAGAAAATTCGAATGACTTAATTTCTAAACTCGGATACTTGAATGTCTCAGTGGCCTGTCAGTTTTGTGCCCTATTATCGCACTTTCTGACCGTTTATCATCTTGTTACAGTCGTGGTTAGTTGCTGCATAACTCGTTCTCATGTGTTTCTTCTCTTCTTTAAAACTAGTATCTATTTTTCTTTTAGTGATTGGTGTAGCCCACTCCAGAGACCGTTTTGAGAGTGTCGTGAAGATGTATGGATATAGCGGATGGCTACAGTGGAGTCTTCAAATTTTTGGAGAAAGAAGATAGACCTGTAATGAGACAGGGTTTAGGAGAATTGAGGGCGAGTGAACACTCACTTGGCATGTGTATAGTCCGCTATCCGAGACCTGCGTCGGAAACACCACATTGAACGATGAACCGGCTTTGGCGTGCACAATCCCCCTGCAGTAGCGCAAGAGCAGTGAACACACACATACACGCACACACACACACACACATACACGCACACAAAACCATAATTGTATAAAACCAGGTACAGCCAGGATTCGAAAGACAAATCCGGGAGGGAGACAGCCACACATCAAGCGACGACACGCCTGATGCAGGATACGTGCGATGCAGGTTGTATGCGTAACGCAGGATACGCGTGATGCTGATGGATGCATGGCACATCACAGCACTTCCTTCACATTCCTGAAACCAATGATTTTTATACAAAAGAGAAAGACCAAGGAACTACAAGTTACGCTATACTGTCCACTAACACCACCAGTTAGTGGTGTTAGTGGGCAGTATAGCGTAACTTGTAGTTCCTTGGTCTTTCTCTTTTGTATAAATAAAACCTTGGCTCTCCATCTGAGTCCAATGGTTTTTCTCAACCATTTTCATCTGGACATGCAGACAGTGCCAAACCAGTAAAATCGATGGGAGTGCGCACTGAAGGCCGGGATATATCAGCCATGACACAACGTGCACCCGGGTTCGCAACCCATAGAACACCCCTACCTTCACCTTCAAGACATCCGTGTGCACTGTGTACATCCACATAGCAAATACCATGCAGTCAAAACGTACTGTGTGTATATGTGTGTGTGTGTGTGTGTGTGTGTATGTGTGTGTGTGCGTGTGTGTGTATGTGTGTGTGTGTGTGTGTGCGTGTGTGTGCGTGTGTGTGTATGTGTGTGTGTGTGTGTGTGCGTGTATATGTGTGTGTGTGTGTGTGTGTGTGTGTGCATGTATGTGTGTGTGCGTGTGTGTGTGTGTGTGTGTATGTATGTGTGTGTGTGTGTGTGTGTGTATGTGTGTGTGTGTGTGTGTGTGTGTGTGTGTGTGTGTGTGTGTGTGTGTGTGTGTGTGTGTGTGTGCGTGTGTGTGTGTGTGTGAGCGCATGTGTGCGCGCATGTATGTGTTTTATCGCACGGTTTCAGCCGGCCAACTCACCTTTGTGCATTAAAAACGTGAGGTAACCGCCTACGGGTGGGTAGACCATTCACAACATCTTGCTTATACCAGGTAGGTACTTGCGATCCTGTGCAGTTGTGAGCCTCGCAGGACAGCTGCAGGAAGCCGTACGAGTAGTCAATCGGCTCCCCAAACATTGGGCTCCCTGAAATAATCCGAGAACAATACGCAGCACAGAGATAATTATGGTCATGAAGGGGAGTTGGATTGGGTAGCAGTGCCTGTGGATTAAAATTGCGCATGATTTCAAGAGTGCTTTTCAGGTGTACAGCATAGTCTGTGATACACGGTGGGTTTGATGTCTTACGCAAGTTAATTCGACCAGTTCCAAATCACTCTCTCGCTTCTCTTCCCCCCTCCCCTCCTCTCTCTCTCTCTCTAGCTCTCTCTCTCTCTCTCTCTCTCTCTCTCTCTCTCTCTCTCTCTCTCTCACTCACTCTCTCACTCACTCTCTCTCACTCTCTCTCACAATCTCTCTCTCTCACTCACTCTCTCTCACTCTCTCTCACAATCTCTCTCTCTCACTCACTCTCTCTCACTCTCTCTCACAATCTCTCTCTTTCTCTCTCTCGTTATCTTTGATTAGTTGAGTGTATTACTCTGCATGTACACCCATCACTCACTGTTATGTATGGAGTATGCTCTCAGCTGCACCCTGCACTGTCCAGGCGAATTCACTGATCGCGTGGCTGCAAAGGGAAATACATTCACAGTCACCGCAGCGGAAGAAGCATCTTATTAGCTAAGAGCCGGGATTGCCTCTCATGCAGGCAAGGTTCAATGCTCAATGCTGCTTCATGTCATAGACGGCAATTGCCATGGTCTGAGTTTCTAGCATTATAGCCAACTTTCAAAAAGTAGGTCACGTGCATGCTTCTCCTATCGTAAAATTTCAACATTTGGATCACTGAAGTGATGAACGGGACATGTCGACAGCCTTGAAAACTGCATTGGGCTACATGCATATGATGAATTGGAAAAGGAGCTGCTCTCTTGCATGCACTTGCGGGCCAGCAAGTTACTAGTTAGTTCTCAGAGAAGTATTGACTTGTGTGTGCATGAGTGCAGCACCATAATGTAGGGGTCCAACAATCGCCAAAACCACCAACAAGCCATCTTGGGCATGAGTTCAAAACGGACCGTAGTGTGCGTTGAGCAGAGCCTATCCTCTAGATATGCTGCATGTTGCAGAGTTCAAGCACGACTACTAGATCCTGGACTCACCTGGACATTTCCCAATGGACATTGGCTGAACTGCCGTCTTTCTCAGGCAGTTCTGTCGCTGAAGCTCACAGAAACTGCTGTACGTCTGCCCGTCGCTTCCACACACCGCCTGTTGGAAGCTCGTGGCGCAGGAGCTGCGGCAGTTGCACTTCAGCCTCTGGACACCGTGAATGCTCGGATGCGGTGTGTAGATGCATTCGCGTGGCACGTGCGGCTTAGCGATGGCTTCTGTAATCCAAGATGGGGCAATAATACCAGCAGGTACATACATACATAATTCAGGCCTGCCTGAACCGGTCCGGTTGGTCAGGTTATTACCGGACCAACGTTTTGGCCACCAACATGTGTTCAGTACTGTGGAGGGCATTATGTATATCCAACATTTCGATACACAACGTATGAAAGGCCACAATACTACCGGACAAATCAATAACTACGTCCGGCGGTCCTGACATTAGCAGTGTTAATATTCAATGAAATCTGATCTGGTGGATCATGTTAGCGCTCTGCATCATTCACATCCCAGTATTCACTGGGCTTGGGCTAACCAGTAACCCAGGGTGGATAATGGCGGCAGAACAATTGGCAGAATTTGGTACTACTGTTTCTGGTATGTTTCATGCATGTGTGGTATGTGGATAAAGAAATGGAGCGGAATTCAAGGAAGTACCTACCAAAATATAAGGCATACATGGCTCTGCCAATTTCATTGCGTTTCGAGCAGAAGCTGCCAATTTTTCGAGCATTATCCGCCATGGAACAACCACCCCTATGGCCTACCCCTTATCAAACGCAATGTGGATATATCGATGTCCATACATTGTACAAATGTACTAGCAAACAGGCATCGTAGACATTGTTCTGAAATTTCACTGCAGTGCTTGGGTGCATGTGCATGTGGCTCGAGCCTCGAGACCAGGGGGTAGTGAAATACTGGTATTTAACTACTCCGTGCTTGAAACTCCGAATTTACGCCGCTTGTTATCCATTGGCATTATCATTCTGTGATTTTGTAGTTCAGGTAAACTCGCTACAGATCCATCAGATCACTTACTTCTTAGGTGGATGCAGTGTGGTTTGCAGGCCACCGGCCGACCGCTCGGGGTGCGGAGTCCCGTCTTGACAACGCACACCTTCTTGTGCTCACAGTCTATGAAGTCGCAGGGATCTGAAACAAACCGGAACAACAGCGGAACCAGAGGTGTGAGTTTCGGAAAACGATCGCCCCACTGGCGTCGCACACATCATGCATGTCACATACATATACCTTAAGCTCAGGTCTGTTCGAATGTGGAGGACATTGCACTGGGAACGCAATCGGTAAATCATATGGACGGACCCCGTCATGCTACAATTGTACAGGCTGAAATCTAACCCAGACCAGCATATGTGGCGCCAGAACGTGTACGGCTCTTGACAAACTGGAAGTGGTATGAATGTAGCTAGGCCTAAACTGGTGCAAAAAGGAAGGGCTGTCCATGGCGGCATCTTCCCACTGGAGACTGGACTTCACCTGGCGCGATGTATATTGCATCACCCGACAACTGTAACATAACCTCTGTCATGCACCAACGTGACCGGTGCTGTGTATCCAACGTGCATTCCCGGACCAAGCCGAATCCTATCATATCAGGACGGTTCCGCTGCACCAAGGGTGTCCGGTTGTATTGCAGGTTTCACTGGTGCAAGCAGCCACTTTTAGTACCAGTCTACATTGAACGTACACATGACGTGATGAAGACTCTGAAGTCTGAACGAGTCCTGAAGTATTAGTTTGAGAGGCTCATCCTCATCACGTCCAGCCACAAACTACCTCTCCGTAATGTTCCCATGGTGATCATGCTCGTGTTGTGGCGAGTACATGATACAGTAACACTTGGTTAAAAGCGACCACCCCACGGTGCAAGCAAAAGCGGTCGTTAAAGCCAGGTGGTCTTTAGAACCAGGTCCCGCAGTGTCTGTGTAGAATTGTCGGTGCATGGAAAAACGGTCGTTAAGACCAGGTGGTCGCTAAACCCAGAGGTCACTCATCCCAGGTTTTACTGTAGAGTCATGTACATGTACATTGAACGTGCAAAATAGAGGGAATAGTCTCAATACGGTGTAGCCTTACGTTCAGGTAGGAACAACTCCGGGCTGTCGCTAATATGGAGATTCTCCTGCAGTGTGAAAAGCAGGAATAGCAAACAGAATCCAGAACAGAGAGAGAACGGTGAATGCCGCTGAACACGTCAAATCAGAACACTGGCCAACGGAACTAGCCCAAAATGGTGACATGCTCATTGTTCCTAGAGTATGCTAGATATTCACTAGATCAGGAAATGGAAAATGGAAAAGCCTGCATTTTGGATCGGATTGGATGATAATTATAGTGGTGACACTTTACCAACGGACCATAATTATATAATTATATTAATCACGAATTTAGAAACGGACTAAACGCTGCTTTCCACCCATGTTGTACTTACGTCATATTGGATCTCTCGCACCGTGTGGTCACCACGAGTGGGCCGCTCACGGATGGGAATGCGGCGGTGCATCTCATACAAATGTGCCAGCAGGCTCTCTTCTGGAGCGGGTGCCGACCAGGTAATGCTCACAACGAGTGTGGCCAGTAGGAAGAGTGCAATGAGGACGTGTCTTGCCGAATCCATGGTGCTCGGGGGCTCTGGATGCTGTTTGCAAAAATATGATAGAGAGAAAGAGGGGGGGGGGGAGGAGTGTAAGTGCTGTATCTCGCTTAAATGTGTGTGGGGGGGGGGGGATCTTTTGCACGCCATTCTTGCCGCGATCATGCACGTTACCATTGATATCACACTGCCCGCACCACTTTAGGGTTTAACATCGGCCTTGCAACTACGCCTGGTATGGCCAACTGGACAACAAATAAATTGAGGACAAAGTGAAACTCATTTTCTTGCGCATGCTCGCGGAGAGAGAGAGAGAGAGAGAGAGAGAGAGAGAGAGAGAGAGAGAGAGAAAAGAGAGGGTGGGGGGGGGGGCGAGAGGGAATGACGCAGGACTGAACTCAAGTAGCTTTTTCACTGAAGACACAACCCACTCGTAAAACAAACTCGATCTACTGTATGTACATTTACAGTGCTGGCTACTGAAATCCGACCCCTGAGTTCACATTCTAGCGGTCTCTATTTCGTAGTTTTACGATCCCCTGTTGGGTCTTTGCGATGTGAGCGCACCGCTCAGGGGGTCGGATTTCAGTTGCCAGCAGTGTATACATGAAAAAGGAATGTGAGGCAGTGAGTGAAGGGTAAAGAATGCAAGACCAGCACAGTGACGGCCAAATGCTTTCCCAAACAATTCCAAAATACGCCCCTCTATAAAAATGTTGTTAGGGAAGAAGCTTCTATTTGTGTCGTCAACCAGCACACCAGATTGACCAGAACTGCGCTGAAATCTGTTCTATGCACTTCCCTACCCGCTCCTGCGCGAAGGCCTAGAGCCTGTACAAGGTAGTGTCCGATACCAGCACAGGAAGAGCAAAGTCTGAAAATGTGGAGAGGATTTTTGGCTGGGATAGTGGCTAAACCACAACTAAAGCATCGCTGCATATACCAATCATGAATGTAAACGATGGCCACTGGGCTGCAACCTGGTGGCGGCAGTCATTCACTCCTGCCAGACTTTCCCCGATTGCCACCCCCTCCAACTGATAAAATATTTTGCTGCTTTAATACACCCACGTCTCAATAGTACATCAATCAATATGTATATGTACAGGTACGTGTACATGTAATTTGAAGTACCTTTCAAAACATCTGCGGTGATTTTCTGTCTCCAAAACTAACAAATCAGGTTGCACTTTTGCGACGAACCGTGGTCATGAAAACGGGTAAATCCACACCAAAACCCTGTTGTATCTTGCGAATTCGACACCAGTATACTGAAAATTCGGGGCATAAAGGGCCAGCTGACATCGTAAGTCATAGCTCAGGTTTAGTGAGCATGATTGTGGACTGCGTCAAAGTCCCGAGAAGGCCGTTTTATCTGTCTCACTCTCTCATTCCTGCAACATCAAACCGTACCATCCAGAACTCTGCGCGCACCGGATCGCGGAACTCCCGCGGGACAAAACATACACTGAGCTGGGGCCGCTTACGAAGCACTGTGGCTCTACTGTTCCTTAGCCACAGTGCATGAATGGAACCCTCCTGCTTGTTGTGTTAAAGTGTAGTTCCTTTATATCGCAATGAATACGGCAGACTGCTTACCTGAATACAGTGTCTTGGACACTAGAAACTAGTAGCAAGCCAATCGATCGGCAATGGGTCGATGAACGTCGTTTGGCGACGAAACTTCAGCGATCGTCTCACACGGATAGGCTCCGGTTGGGATGATTCGGTGTACCGTTACGTGAAACGGGAGTAGGACGTGCGTAACGTGAGCTGTATCGCGGTTCGTTCACGCTGTTTCGATTTGGACCAGACAACAGTTGAACCGTCCTGTTGGACTTCAATTGTTCTGTTGGATTGGGCTGCTTCCACTGTTTATCGGCAGACGATTGTAGCTAGAGGGCTTGTCCTGCGCATCTGGCCAATAGCCTAACAGACTGGGGACTCCACCTTTCCGTTCTCAGCGTAATGTGTACTCGAAGAGGACGTCGGTAGAAGTGAGAGACGGAGTACGCGTCTCGGGGTGTTGTTTGTGATGGAATGGTGTTTACAAGAAAGCGCTGAACGTGCGTCGTCAGGTGTCGTCCGCATCCTCACACCGCTACAGCGCCACGCGTGAGATATGGACGTCATGTATCCCGTTGTGTACGGCCGTATGTCGCACGGAGTATCCAGCGGAATGAGCCATTGGCATTGGCGCTGGCGTTGCGATGGGGCTGCTGGAGTAAAGGGACAGTCAATTGTGTGTAGTCATACAATGACTACGAGCATGTGTATGAATCTGACACCAGCGTTTCTGGCTGTGTGTGGCATGCTGGCAGCGACTGTGCCTATGGTCCGTATTACTACTATTAGCGAGCAATCAGGCAGGCCTACACAGGCTACAGGCAGCAGCAGAAAACCCCAGCACCAGACATGAAGGATGGTGAGGTCCGGATTCTGGCACCAAACACAAACGCACCCACTTCACGCCCCGCTACTTGGCAACACGTGCGGACAAGTACGGCGCCAGGCTGGCGGAGTGATCTTGACACAGACTAGTTCAGTGGGCCTCCTCTCTGGCGAAGACGCACACAAGATCTCCAAGCGACAAGGGCAACGCAAGGGACAATACGGAAAAGGGAAGCGTCGAAATTCATTGCTTGCCCTACTATGAAAAGGACAAGGACGATTTAATGCGACCTTGCACAGTCAAGTCAACGTCTCCAGTAGTGACGTGTATCCTGCCTTCTTGCCCTTGCATCTCAAACAACCACCATTGTACTTTGTAGGGCCAGACTTCATGCTTACATGCTTTGACAACCTGGATGACAATACCATGATGGCACGTGACAAATGCAGCGCAGCTTTGGCCCCGGGTATTCCAGGGCTTCACGTTCTGCGAACACTACAAGTACTAGTAGACTGAGCAGGACATACACATACAACACAGCCAGTAATATTACAGGAATCAATCTAATGTCATGTGGTGCTCAGCACAGCCGAGCTCCGAGCTCCATGGATAATGGACTCAAACTAGTAGACGTATTTGTGCACGAACTAAATTTGTAGGTGGCCTCCCCGTCAGGCGCTATCCCTGCAGGATTTCGATCAGTTCTCCTGCACGTGTCTCCGCCTCTTACCTGCCACGTTTACATGTCCTCCAGTCCCAGCAGAACTATCACTTGCGTTCGTAGTTCATGACTGTTCTCCATGATGAGTACGCTGAAACGATTATGACTTGTGTCACAGTGTCAGCATTGGCATGTGGGGAGCGACACTTTTATGGCTGATGGCCATATGAACGCATAATGTCCGTACATTTTCATTGCGCGACAGGAATGCAGCGAGCGAACTTCACAACGCACACTGTCAAGTCATATTTTGTCGCCGGACCAAGCCAAGATTGCTCTCGGAGTGCATGAGGCCATTACTAAGCATTAGCGCCAACCAAGGACAGTATGCGATGCTGGTAGTGTAAGATATGATTGTGTATGAGTACAGGCGAGCTGATGTACGAGTGAAGATCCGAGCTGATGTACGAGTGAAGATCCGAGCTGATGTACGAGTGACGATTTGAGCTGATGTACGAGTGAAGATCTGAGCTGATTGACGAGTGACGATTTGCATACCTCCGTTTTCACTTCAATGCAGCTCTCTTACCTAAGGTCCTTGAGCAAACTCCCAACCACAATGGCAGCCAGCAGATTACCACTGGGTCACTCCTTGAAATCATTCTGCAGCCACGCGTGATACATGTATACGCAGAGGATCTAGAGAACTCAAATTGGCCATCAACCAAATGCTGGCAATTCCTCAAATTGAAGAGAAACGTCACCAATTAGACGTTGTGCAGAGCGTCTAATTGTCCTATCACTGCGGGGAATTCGCTGGCCGACTTCAGAGTATGGTGCTGTACGCCGGTTTCGCAGCATCATCCTGGCCTGGGCTTGGCGCCACTGGGTGCGTGGGAACGCCAATATTGTCATATTGCAGGTGGCGTGACTGCTATCCACGACAGACGACGAGAAGGAAAGTCTGCCAATTCTAGTGCGAATCACTCCGACGGTCGTTCGTTGCGGCCAGGTCGATTGCTCATTGCAGTCGCCATCGTTGTTTCCCTAAAGCTATTGCAACTTATAAGTGACTTCTTGTACTCCATAGTTTGATTGATTCGTATGTTGGGTGAATGGTGCTTGGTGTTTTATGATCAATTGACAGACGCTTAAAAAAAAGCGTCGATTCATCCGATTGAACGAAGTGTTCAATAAAGATAGGAAAGGCTTGAGGGGGTGGGGGGGGGGGGGGAGCTGCTATAGTGTCGTCGCTCGTGTTGTCCATGCGACTCTTTCTCCACTACTGAAGCACATACCGGTAGACGGGACTAGGAGCATCGCGACAATGTTGGAGCCAGAGAATATGATGTACCTCACTCATTTCAAGTCATAACTATCAATCCTGACGGTCGTTGGCCAATATTGACAAAATGGGGTTGTGGAGACTTTATCTTTGCTTGTGCCAGTCGTACCCTTCTATAAGTATAATAGTTTCAACGCGTCGGTGAGCTGATAGCGCGCTGTCGGCACCCTTTTTGAGTTGCCTTCACATACGGAAGAGCTGTTGCTTTTGAGTTGTTCTTTTGGACAGAAGAAGTTCGTTTATCAGAGAAGCCGTTGGTCATGTGTGACTGTCACATAAGCGTGAACAAGAATTATGGTCCTCTCGTGCTCCCCTGCACGCATAGATTCTCAAGTTCATGGCGTAACGCCAGTGGGTATTGGTTTATCATGTCTACCCACCACTGCAGTGTCTGCTCCACAGCCGGATCAGCCAGGTCAGCGACCCGGTTGGGGGGGGGGGGAGGTACTTGGACCCGCTTGGAAAAAGAACACAGGGTTACTAGTACCTCTGACCCGGCTGGGACTCCACCAGGGAGTCCTGAGATTCGCTGATGTACAATAGCCGCACTTGAATGTGGATCTACCCGGGACTGACCCGGTTGCAAGGGTGGTGCCAGTTATACGTGTACCCGGTTGGTTTGAAACCCTAGACCGGCTAGAGCAGACACTGCCGGCTGTGTAGGCACACTACAATCATGTGCACATTTCTCCGAGCAGCAGTGAGCAGTGAGCAGTGAGAGAACAGCAGTGGTTAGGAATTCATTCCACTTGCTCTATGCACCCACTGGCATCTCACAGAGAATAACCCCCCTCGATAGGCGACAGCCTTTGGTGAAAGGCCGATGCAATGTGATAGCAACGGAGGTAAGGCTACGCCTCTAAAACAGTTAACACCCTCTTCATGCGCTGATATGCTCCGCTTCCCAGCCCTGCATATCCAGTTTAGTAAGTGCCTGTGGCTCACCGAGACGAAGAGCAAGCGTTCTAGAGTCACCCGGATAACGACACGAGCTTCGGGCTCAACTGCTTCACCTACGGCCCACGGCCCACAGCCCACAGCCCACGGCCCACAGCCCACAGCCCACGGCACCTACATGTATAATCTGACCAGCATGACAGGTCACGTGAGCAAGCTACACTCGTTTTTGGTAGTAGTCAATGACACGAGTCATAACGCCTTATTAGGGTGTTCAGTCACGTGACATGTGATTTCTTATTCTTTGGATTTTGGCACCAAATTTTTTTTATTCGAAAGCTCTAGGTTTCAGGAGGATCTTGGTGAAGTTTCAGCGAAAAACAAGCAAAAGTGGCCGCGCAGTGGCCCGTTGAAGTTTTCGCCCATTCACACTATGTACACACATATTTAGTATGCGGCCAGTGGCACACACCAGCATTTCTGCCATCCAAACCCAAAAAACAAAGTTGCTCAGATCACTTAGCTTTTTCGCAGGCATGGCACTAATAACAGAAAAGTAAATGCTGTGAAGTCAATTTTCCATTTTTGCTACCAACTTTCAAATTTCCCCCTTAGCAACCACCATAGCAACTGTACAAAAGTCAATGTGTTACCTCCCAAAAAACTAAGTTTCTCAGATCACTTAGCTTTTTCGCAGGCATGGCACTAATAACAGAAAAGTAAATGCTGTGAAGTCAATTTTCCATTTTTGCTACCAACTTTCAAATTTCTCCCTTAGCAACCACCATAGCAACCATACAAAATACAATGTGTCAGTGTTGGTTACCTTGAAATGCTGCCCAATTTCGACTGTGCCGAAAGGAAAACACAAAGAAGATCACTGGAATTATGCAGCATTGCATGACAAGACAAAGAGTTCATTGCTGGAGAGACAAACGGGCATGCGCCAGGATATCAAATGCAAACAAAACCACACCCATAACAGACATTACACGCTTTAGCGGATAAGAGAATGCTCAAATTAAATTTGAGAACTTTCAGAGCACATAGAAAAGATTTATAATAGATCAAGCTGAAAAGCTCAGAGAAAGATACATCATGTCCGAATTATGGCTGAACGAGGACTCTTGCAGAGTGAATTCATCGTACAGTTCCGGTTCGCTTTTATACATCATTCATCATCAACAGCGCTCGCCACATCACTGCCAGGTTCGCTGCGCTGGCGAGTCAGCTTCCTCAAGTTGGACGCCAATGTTGCAACTGGGAGAGTACGGCCAGCAGAGCTCATAAAGAACAGCTCCTTGGAAGCTTTCTGCTCCAGAACGAATTTCCGAAACTGGAGTTGTGAGCGCAATGCTGCTCTTTGACCAGTGACAGAGGAAATTGCTGCAAGCTTTTCATCGATGTTCGTCTCCTCTGTCCACAGACCATATGCCTCAATCTCCTTGGTCAACTGTTCTTTTCGTGCAATGGTGGCTTGATGCTTCTTCTCCTTTTCTGCCTGCTTTCTCTTGAGCTCTGCCAAGCGATGCTGTTGGATAGCGACCCGTCTGTCCTTGAACTGCTGACGCGCTGATGGAGCTGTTTGCCTAGCCACTTCAATCAGGTTGGACTGCTCAGCTGGTGAAAGAGACTGAAGCCATGAAGCGGTCTCGTTGTTGTTGAACAGAATCATACCTTCCAGAGCAACAGTGTCAGCATTAGGCTTCTCGCGAAGCAAACGGTCCAATTGTGCGAAGTCACGCTCACTGACAGCATTGGTCTTGCGAACCGAAGCAGTCTCAACAGCTAGGCCCGGTGCACTGTGGTACTTCCCACCCGGTAAGTGGTCCACGAGGAGACGTGCTGAGAATGAAGATAGCGTCGAGCAGAGGTAAGCGAGGATCTCCAACGTGATAGCATCATACTTCTCCGACGGCTCCACGAGAGCTGTGAATACATCGCACAGTGTGGATACCTTTGCATTGGGAAATGGCCGTGCGCTGCCGTCAAGGAGGTCGCTTGCATCTTTCGCCCAGTCGTCAAACTTGCTACTCAATGCAGTGTAGTACTTGCCAACCTCAAGCACAGAAACATCCGGATCTTCCAGCAGACACCAGAGTGGGTTGATCACAAGCTTGGACAAGATACCAAGTGCTCGAGCACCTGCAATCAACTCTGTCTCACCCAGATCTTCTTTAACAGCACGCAAAAGTTGATTGTCTCGTACACTGACGTCAACCAAAAAATGCAGCATTTTGTTGTGGAGATAATAAATACCTGCACCATTGTGGAATACAACGTAAGATCTATTTCCCCTGTACTCATCAAGAGGCAATGGTGTGTTTGTCTCAGACAG